GCGTCCTGGCTCCAAAACACACTCCTTTTCCCCCTCTTTGAATCCATTCAGCTGCAGCTCTGAAGGACTCATACCAGTGCCTCCAGTGTCGATTTTCCATTTTTAATTCCCCACATTCCACGACCAAACGAGAAAACAATGTGCTGTACAATTTCCAATGTGTTTCACATTAAATGCCAGGCAGCATCCCACAATGGTGCCTTCAGTCTTCGAGGTGACACCTCCAGCTGTGAGGCCGAAACCGAGCGCTTTTATCCAGCGGAGTCAGCGACATCTCCCTGCTCGGCGTCCAGCGGTGAGGCCATATGGTGCACGGGGAACTGAAATCTAATCTAAAAATATATGCAATGCATTGCCTGATGCAGAAATTGCATACAACTTGCATGGCAGCAGAGCCTTTTCTCTTTTTAGAGAATAAAACTTCTCAAGATACTTTTCCATAACAGGAGGATGATCTAATAATTGGATAAACTAATTAAGTCTGCAATTAAAGTCCTATTAGACCTATAGAATCTGATTCTATCTTAGATTCCCCACGCTTTGTTTTATATAAAAAAAAACTACCCAAACTTTCTAAAAGTCTAAGAAAAAATCGTTTCAATCAACTTTTGGATTCCAACAACCTTTCAATTACCTTTTAGTAATCCCCTCTTTATATTCCTTTCGTGTAAGTATATCCACAGTGAATTGGTCGCTCAAAAAGGCGCAGTAAGGGTCCTTTGCAGCGGTTGTAATCCTCAGAGATCCTGCGCTGTGAGAGCATATGTGCGACCCTCCGTCCGCATCCGCGACCGTCCTCTCAAATGCGCTCCAGCTAAGCGACCTGTAACTGATTCAATGTTACAGTCCACCCTCCTCCCCTCCGCCCCCCTCCGAAAAATCATCTGGCTCAAAGTAAATAACTCTCAGGAAATGACACCCCCCCTCTCCTCCCTTCGAGCGCTGGACCCCTTTTCAAAGTAAAAGTCTCTTTTTAGGGGGGGAGTGCAGATGAATATCCCCGCCGAAATGAGGGAAACTGGCATTTTCATGGGGTTTTATTTGGATACGAGAACTTTTGGAGGAGAGGAGCAGCCCTAGTGTGTTTTTGAGTAACTTGTGTTGCATCTGGTGATGTTTCACTCTTTACACACAAATGTTCTTGTTTTGTGAGTTTAACTGTTACTAGTCCAGTTTAACAAACGTTATCATGAGATTACGATGCAAATGTAATCTCTTTTTTGTTGCGCGAAGCATGGAAGCTCAGTGAATGGACACAGTTAGTCAGTCAGAAACTGAGGAACAGTGGAGCGCGTGACTCATAGAGGGCGCTCTAACACCATCATATCACAGGCCATCTTCCCTCCCCCTCTCTGCCTCTCTTACACACTCTCTCACTCACTCACTCACTCACACACACACACACACACACACACACACACACACACACACACACACACACACACACACACACACACACACCTTACATTTTGTGAAAAGAAATTACACTAACAGGGGGATTCTTTTTTTTCTCTTCTTTTCAACTCCACAGAAACTAACTAACCCCTGTTTACTGGCACACATGCGTCAGCTGTTTACCGAGTCCTTTTTTACTCAAGCTCCGTTACCCTGGGGCTTTCCTAATGGGCAACAGAAGAATAAAGGGCCCCTGTGAATCACCTATCTCTGGGTACTGAAGAGGGGTGTCAGACCGGTGTCTCTGCACGGAGCAGAGCCCCGGGGCCGATGATCACCCCCCTTCATCCCCTTCTCCCCTTCTCCCCTTCTCCTCACCCCTTCCAGCTCCATGCAGCCGCTTGGCGCAATTACTTCCACATGTTGCCGAAAAGAACAGTGTCCTTGTTTTCCAAACAAAGGATCTCAACTTCGGAAGGCCAAACTCACCTCAAACCGGGTTGTGGTTCTCACTTCTGAGGGATTTTCTTTTAACACTTTTAGCTTAAAAAAAAACCTTGAATTTACATATCAAATTACAGGTCAATTAGTTTCAAGAGGCGGTTTTAGTGCCAACATTTGCTGAAAAATCTATAATTTATGTTTTGAATGAATTTTATATGAAAAAAGGCGAACATCTAAAACACTAAAACTTAAAAGAAAGTGAACTGCCCCAGACCCTTTGAACATAACAAGTCACATTCCCCTGTCAGCACTTCTCTTCCTTTCTCCAAATGATTGAGGCTAAATATCACTGAAATGTTCTGAGTCATGTGTTCTCGTCCTTGTAAGATGATGAGACTTTTTTTTACATTGTTCCAAAAGACTATGCCATCACATGTAGGTGCTGTATGGTGGTTGGGCTCTGGCTGGAGGATGTTCACATCGTCGCTTAAACACTGCTCTTTACCAACGTTACTCATCTTCTTCATGGTGACCCCGTCCTGCTCCAACTGTCCACCAGGGGGCTTTGGAAAAAAAATAACCTGTATCAAAATAAGTGACTTACAGTATAACCTACGTACAAATGGGACTTATCAAATAGAAGTCATGGTAAATTCACTTTAAAGACTAACAAATTTAATTGATTTCATTTCCACACATGGTTCGTCTTTCCTTTAATAATTAGGCCTTATATCCGACAGTAACTACACCCTGACATGCCTGACGTTTAAAATCGTAATATTTAAGCTGCTCCTTAAACTTCTACATGATATAAACATTTGGAGTCCAGCTTATTCCCGGATGATGCACTTTGTTATCTAGAATATATCTTGATACATTATTTTCTCATATCTTTCTCAAACTTGCGAGTCCATGATTAAGAGTACATATAGGCCCGAGTACACGTCCACATACAACACAGCTCGTCCTGCAGTCATATACATGAATGATGAAGTGTTTGAAGATGACTCCACAGGCTGTCGGTGGCCTTGGGGCGGCGGTCCCTGTGGGAGCTGTCCAGCGTGCTGAAACGTGTCTGTACCAGTCAGCGTTCATCTTTCAGCCAGTACTGACTCTATCTATCTATCTATCTATCTATCTATCTATAGCAGTGGATTGGAGAGAAACTCAAAGGCCTTGTGGAGAGCTCATGAGTAACCAGCCATTAACCAAGTATAGGTGAGTTTTTATAAACCAACCCCCAATTATTTACAAAAACCCAATCCAGTAGCCTAAATATTACATCTTTTCCACTGTAGCTTGGTCCCCAGCAGCAAAATATGTGGCTCTTCGGGAAAAGACAACGCTATTCCCCTCTTGTCCACACCGGCACTTCAGCTTCTTCTCGCCTCTGTCTCTCCGCATGAGACAGCAGCTGCAACCGGCTGAAAAGCGCTCTTATTAATTGTCTTTTGTCATGCGTAATTGCCACATTTTCAATGGTGGCCGAGGCCTGACGTCTTTTGGAGTGCTCTCGTTTGTCTGCATTAGTAGGTATAGCCCCTTTCATCTGAAATTTACATTCTGCACACTCTGCATTATTTTATTCATTTTGTTTGATAAAGCAGTATGATCACAATTTGAGACCTGGACAAATCGATCAACTCTCAGAGCTGAAAGAGTAAGGGTCTGTCTCAAAACTGCGGTTTATTCTATTGTCCATCGCTTTAAAATGCTGCATTGATCTTTCACACCTGCAAGGGGAACTCTGATTCGATTAATAGGAACTTCAGTATATATTCATTAGGTGGCTTTCCCCCAATAATATATGATCAGCAGCGGGATGTGAAAGGGGCACTATTTATTCCCACTCTGAATGGGTCTGCGTGGGACCAAAACTTCACCTGCTTCCCCTCTCAATTAGGAATGTATCCCAAACTCTGACAGAAACGAGTTAAATTAGGCGTCAGCTAATTTCCAGTGGCCCCTCCCACGTAATCCCCCCTCAGAGTCTTTCCATTTGAGCGTGCCCCCTTTAATTCACTATAAGTTGAAAGGTTCAAATAGTGCCTAATGAAACAGTGACTAAATCGTTCTCTGTCGCTCGGAGGAACCCTGTAGCTGTCTCTCAAAGCTCTCTGAGCACACAGCCGTCGGGGGTCTCCGGCTAAATGCGAGTCCCAAGGCAGGACAATCTAACCTGTCAAAGCCTTTGCCCACTTCTATATATCCTTGTTCTGTGGTTTCAAGCAAAAGCAGCATAATCAACCAACGTGGGACCGAAAACGCAATTAAACTCGCTTTGGACAACCAAAATCTTTTCAAAAGCGAACATTAATGGACTATTGGCTGCTCCCCAGGGGCGTTATCGGGTACCCTTTTGTGGTCCGATCTAAGGAGAAATTACAGCTACACTTTCATATAGCTTACTCCATCCTTTTAGAATTAAATTGCTTATATCATTTAAATGGACCTCTGCTATATAATGTTTATTAATAAAAAAAAAAACCTGGCTCTACCAGTCGAATAGACCAATAGCTGGCAATGACAGCTTAATAATAACAGCTGTCAACTGATAGAAAAGAGTTGGAAAGGTTGTGTTGTAAAACCTGTAGTGGAAGACAACTGTGCTCAGTCGATGTGCACACGGAGTGGCCCGAAAAACAGAAACCCATGCAATCCAATACAAAACAGTGAAATTATCATTTTTGTTGAGACTCAGACGAACTGATCCAATTGTTTTGTCACTTTTTAAACTGGAGTTAGTGTTTTACCTGATTGCATTATATTAAAAGGTGTTTCAAGTATTTTGTCCACTCATGTGTACATCTATGTAAATAAGCTCAATTTAGCATTACATTACACAGGTGATACTATTGATATATATTACTCTCATATAGTAGGAGATTTTTTTACTGCTATATCACAACTATATGCCAGTGCCTCCTGGCAATCAGTATGTGATGACAAATTGCTAATAATCATAATGATATAGTCTATGTAAGGTATTTATATTCATTGCAAAATGTAGGACATTTATTTCTGTGGCCCGTTTTAATATAGTATCTCAACTTGCATAGATGCAAAAATACATATATATTTTATATATTTTTTTATATATTTTTTCAAATACTTATTAGTAATAAAAATATTACCAGTGTTAAGTCCTTCGTTTTTGTGAGTGAACACATCATTGATCATAGTAAGACAACACATTGACAGTTTCTTAGGTCAACTCATGTTTATTACAATAAATACAGATATACATAGTTTACAAATTGTTGCGTACAGGTTCCACACAGGTTAGGCCTATGCTATTTCTAAGGGCTTTCATTACCACACAACCTCACTGACAGTGATGGGATATCAGGCAATAATTGAAAACATTTACTGAGGATAATTAACTAGACCTGGGTATAGGTGAGAACCCTGAAGGGGTCAAAATACATCAATACATAGGTCACGTTTCCCAATATTTCACAACGGCGTTAAAACATGTATCCACATATTTCATTTTAAAAGTACACTCTTCATGCGGGAGATTTTTGGCCCAGAGGTTGCTGTGATGCCCTAACCCAGAACTGTAACAGTAAGTGCCAGCAGTGGGAATTGGGAAGTCGCGACGCTCTCAGATGGGTGACACTTCTTTCTCCTCCTCAGCAGAGGCCGGAGATAGAGACTCCTCGTCCTCTGACCTTGAATAGTCTGTGTGACCGGTTGTGCACTTGCAACCGCTGTGCGCGGTCCTTTGGGTGGCTTTCCCCTCCTTCTTATGCTTCACCCTGCGGTTCTGAAACCAGATTTTCACCTGTTTCTCTGACAGGTTCAAATATGTGGCGATTTCGATTCTTCTGAGTCTCGAAAGATACATGTTCGTGGAAAACTCCCTTTCAAGTTCCAGGAGTTGCGTGCTTGTAAAAGCCGTGCGCATCCTCTTGCCATTCTGTATGTGGCTGTTCTCGGAGGCGCCTGTTGGAGAGAAAAACATTTTTTTAAGTCAGACGTTTAACTTTTAGAAGGCTACAGGTCTAAACTCAGTCAAAGATTCAGATGGAGCAAAACATCGCGCGTAAATCTTTGTGCGTAAAGTTGACACGGAGTGTTGACATTAATGTAATTGCCTGAAAGTACATCATGAAGACTCAAACAGGTGCCGAGCAGTGCTCCTAGCTGTCAGCTGAGACTGTAGCAAACAGGTGGCTTACCAATAGAAAGACAGTGGTATCTCCTGGGATCTGTGACGCTGAAGGTGGGCGTGCAGACAGGTGTGTGTCCCGGGTGCGCGAGTGCAGGAGACTGCTGGTGAGCTATTCTCTGACAGTACTGTGCCTCCGCTCCTGGAAACTGACTCTTCAGCATGGGAATGCCGCTGCGGGAAGAGTGGATGTGGGACGTGACGCACAGCGGGCAAACACAGAAAGTCCCGTTTTTCCTGGATGGGCACACCGGAGCGGTGACCGTCATTACGCTCGGAGAGTGCATGCTGATGGGAATAAGGAACTCTTGTCCTGGATGCTCGATTGGTCCAGGTCGCACCGTATCCTTGATTATTAAAGAATCAACGTAAAAAGACCTCGACATGGTTGCGCCGCTGATAAGTGATCACTCCGTGCACAAGATGATAGCTGTTTCTCATCTGAACCCCTCGGGATCTCCAAAGGTGCTTATGTTTGATGGTTCAACAAAAGGGACCCCGAAGAGGGTTGGCCCTGCAGCGTCACCCACGTGCGCACCCGTCTCCAAGGGTTTATACTGTCAGCGACCCAAACCACGTGATGTCTCCGTTGGCCTCCAATCACAACTTGCAGATTTAGGTTTTTTATCCCCGAATTTAGTAAAAGTCTTGGGCACTAGAATAATGTAACCAGCCACAGTAAAATATTTAGTTATATATATATATTTATGAACTGCACTGACTTTCTGCAGCAGACACAAAATAACTCCAAATCCATCATTTTAAAACAATTTAACAAAATAAAATAAAGCTTAAAAATAATATTTCACAAATGTTGCTAAATTATGTATTTATGGTGTGGAACTTGGATTGACAGGGTTTTATAGGAATTGGTCAGATATCCATCTGAAACTGTAAAATTTAATTTGGAAACACCTGCTATTTTAAACTATTAAACTTAAAAATAGAAACACGCATTAAATACATCAGATAAACTAGAAGCAGCTAATAGAAGAACCTGTTGGAGCAGGTGCAGCTGGAAACTGAACCAGAAATAACCTGGACTCTGTCTGTAGTTTATAATACAGACTACAGTGAATAATCACCGTTTAAGATTCAAATTGACTAAAGCTGATTTGATCATTATTTCATTTTTAGATCAATTAAAATTCCTTTATTCTTTAAAATGAATGACAATAATTCTGACATGTTTAGGAAAGCTATATGATTTACTTGACCTTTTTAGTCCATAGTCGATTTATTTTTTCACCAAATGCGATTTAAGGAATTGAGCACGCCACTAATTGCTTCGCAGCCTAATCATACTGCTTTGAATCCTGTTGGTCCAGGTTACACTTCCAGCAATTAAAGAATTATGAACCGCTGGCGAGTCTGGGCTGCGGTTATTTGATGGCGATTAGGATTCAATTAGAAAGTGTTTATAATGGCTGGTCTGTGCTGGGGTAAACAGGCAGCTATTTCAGAAATGCGTTAATCCCTCATCTTGTGACAATAATTAGCGAGTTTGATCCCCAGGCGGGTCACCGGTAGGTTTAGCTTCTGCTTTCATCTGCCAAGTAACGCCTCGGACCTTCAGACAGAGGCGAGCCGTCAGTAGGTCCAGGTCCAACACAACAACATGTGTCAGTTTCTCCACTGACCTCAGAGACACACACACACAAAAAACTAGTTGAACAGGCCTTTTGGGCATCCCAAGTTTGAATAAGTCCCTTTTTTGTTTATATTGCAGCTCTTTTCCTTTAAAAATCTACAAACCGCCTCATTATGGAGCAAGTGATTACAGCAAGCAGGCGACTGAAGTGCGCATTGAACGGGAGTTAAAATGCAGTCTTTGAAAGAATTAGAAAGTCTTTAAAATCCAACCACAATAATGATAACACAAACCCAACATGTCTGTCACACAGACAGTAATTGCTATAATAAAGTGAATCCAGCGTTTGACAAGGAAGACGCACAGAGTTGTTATGGTACAGATAACAGTCTGAAACAAGAGAGAGAGAGAGAGAGAGAGAGAGAGAGAGAGAGAGAGCAAACCAAGCGGAATGATGCGTGGCGCGCGCCCTCATCACACCATGCGAGCTCTAATATTATTTTTCCATAATTCTGCACGATAAAATTTCATTGTCTATTAAGTAATCCCACAAATGAGATCCTTTATGAGGCTATAATGAGGCCTAATTGCCAGGACTAGTGGAGCCACGTGGAAGGATTTAGGAAGCATTAAGCCGTCGGGTACTGAGCACAGGCTGTTACCTAGCCATTACTTTCATAATTCAAGGAGAAAATTAGTCCATTTAAGGGAAAAATCCTTTGATTCCCTTTATTCTGCTCGGGGTGACAAGGCTGCAGTTTTTTTGTCCGCTTCGGTTAAGAAGCCTGTTCAACAAATGGGCAATATCACTCACTGTTTAAATGTTAGATAAAAAAAAAGAGAATTTCAGAAATGTGTAAAGCTCTCAGGGCCCCACCTCTCACTTGCCTCTTCTTTCTCTCCAGTGTGGTGCGCCTTTTACTTCATAGTGCAGCGGTTACCCTCCACTATTCACCCCCTTTTCAAATCATGTTGATGGGCAATTAATCACAGGCCTATTCAGTAACATGAAAATTAAATTTAAACAGGGGATTTTAAAGTAAAAAGTTGGTTCTCCTCAGAGGTCGGTTAGTTTATTCCCCTCAGTGGAAAACAAAATTTCTAGTATGAGAGTCTGTGTGCAGTAAGTGCATCAAAGAGGGGGGAAAAGGTGTGTGTGTGTGTGTGTGTGTGTGTGTGTGTGTGTGTGTGTGTGTGTGTGTGCCAGCTCCTCCCAGTAGTAAAAACACACAAACTTGTTAAAGTGCAGTGCTAAAGTTCCCCCCTCTCATTCACATCGCATCCCATGCCATATTATACCGTGAAGAAGTCCATTAATGTTTTGTTGAACAAGCGTCATTAACTTGTATCAACGCCTTTTTACAAACCTTGCATTGTTGTGCAGGGCCAGTCTGCGGCCCATCTTGGCCAATACAGTGGATGATTTGCCCCTTTATTAGTTACCAGGCAACAGATCCTGAATACCAAAACTCAAAGGAAACGCTCTGGTCCTCCATATAGATCTCAATGGCGATGGGGGAAAATGAACAATGATCCTGTGGACAACATAATGCCACGCAATGACTTTTCATTAACAATTATCTGGTTGATGTGAATAGCAGCTGCAGTGGCTACTCTCCGTCTCATGGTTTGCAGAGAAAAGGGGAGCGAGGGAGAGAAAGAGGACTTGCCAGTGAATAGCATCCTGCAGGAGTTTAGGGGGTTCATAGTCTCCATGAATGTGGAATCTAATTTATATCTCAGTGAATAATTAGGTTTCTATGCAAAAATGAGTTGGAAATAATTACATTTTAAAACGCGTGACAACTTAGCCTGATAAACAAAGGAAAGCAGTCCCTTTTAATGCGGCACACTAGGAGTTTATGAGCTTCTTCAGTTTGCCAGTTGAGATCAATAAGCTAACGTTTACAGTTTGGTGCAAAAAATGAATCAGGAAACAACTTCTCTTTCATTATAGGACTGGTGTGTCGCAGCTCTGTCCTTAAAAAATGTCCACAAACTGTTTCTGTGATTGGGAACAGACAACGTTGTTAGGGAGCGCGGCCCTCAGTCCTATAGAAAAGTAAAGTGACAGGCTCAGTGTAAGAAGAGGCTGCTGAACAAAGCCAGCGAGGGCCCTGTTGATGGCCTATAGAGATGTCCTGCACCAGGCTCCCTCTAATTAGGGAGACGCTTCTCAGTCTCACAGAGCTGCTCAGACCAGACACTCCAGACTGAAGTGTGCCCCTGCGCCAACGAGTGTGTCTGGATGTCCACACTCAACGCAGCATGTGTATGCGTCTGCGCTTTATGGCCACACACAATTAACGAGCCTCGAAAATGAGATAAACACCGACTGATAGTGACGCCGATCACGGTTAAGCTCCCGGGAGAAATGTCTTTATCAAAGCTTATTGTTCGAGCCCTGATTTGTCCCTCGGCCTCCTCTGTTGTTTCCAAAAGACTAAGCAAATGCCATTACAGAGGCAGCACAGAACAGCCCTTATTTCAATCTTTTCTTGCTTGAGTTGTCAAATAGTCCTGAGATTATTCCATCGTTTTTGTCATAGGAAGCTATTCCATTGTTGGTCACTTTGTAGTGCATGTTCTTCCCGCAGGAGTTATCAGCTGTAAGGACTCATTACTGTGCTCCTCACTGGTTCCCAAGAAGATCAAGATGCTGCTCTATCTTCCTTAATGATTGGCCTTTTACAAGAACTATTTGGATTCAGAATGACGCTTGCAGACTTTGCCTGAAAACGTGCACATCTACACAAAAAGAACATTCCTACCACGGACAATTTTTTTTTAAGCTCAAATTCACAAATTAAAAACATTTGCAGTTATAGAAGGAAACCAATCTTCTCCTTCCTGAACAACCTCAACCAAACCTGAAAGGTTCTCACCCCTCCTCTGCTCACGACAGAGAGATCCTGACTTCCCGCGAAACCTAAATCAGGAAATGTTTCAAGGAGTGAATGACAGGAGTCCCTCCACCGGGTTACCCCGACCAGTCTCTCCCTCAGTCTAAAGGAGGTGATATTGTAGCCCCTTTTTTCTCCCTTTGAAAGGGGAAATCCGCGGGATTGAGCTTGTGTGCTGGAGCGGAAGCAGACTGGAATGTGTGTCCGGGCCGCGTCTTTTGTCGTCGGCCGGGGCCATGAATAGACATGGACCGCAATCTCTCTGTCCTCTGTTTATCAGACTGTGAAGAAGCAAACAAACCAAAATGTTTCATCCGCATGTTACCAGCACCTTATACCTGTCAATCACTGTTTTTTTCCCCACTGCCTGATGGGATGTTTGAACTTTTCCTGTAAGAGTAACACCCCAAAATAAACCCTTAATCCAAATCAGCACATAGGAAACAAACATGAAGCTTTTTAGTTTTATAGCATCCATTTTGCTGTTCTCCACAATTAATGCAAAATGTAGCCAATGAGGACAGTTGAAGGCTTTCATGGGTCCAAACTGCTTAAACAGGGACTTTTATTTTTAAATAAATAATATTTCAGATTTATTTTTCTGTGTGTACTCTCTTCAGATTTAATATTGATTAGGAAAAGTGTCATGTTGAGTAGAGCTTGTCATTATGTTGATTTTCACTGTTGCCTGTGAGTGTCTCTCGGGCAGCTTGTCGCTCTAACCTCATCCTAGTTTCCCGCTTTTAAGGTCAAAAAGAGGCTTTCAAGCTAATAGGAATAGCTTACATGTTCCTTAATTGAGATGATGCCCACACATTTTTTCTATCTATTATTATGGATGTGTTCCTCTAATGTGATTTATTGCAAGATGTTCACAAGTTTAAAGGGAGGTAGAGAGTGAGCTGTCAAGATCCAGCCGCAGTCTGAGACTTGGAGGCTTATTTTGCTCATTTGGACAATGAAGAAAGCATCGATCTGATTTTTCCTCTGTTTTTGTCGCCATCATCGTTACAGCTGTTGTCATTTCGGTGTTCATTTATATTCATTCCACAGTTCTGCGAAAACACAAGCCAATGTAATTTAAATCCTCCTTGTATTTCTCGTGAATGTGTTCCTTCCCATCAGTGCGTGTGGTTCTCTTTATGAGAGGATTATCAGATTTATATATGTTAATTGGCAGCAGGCAGCCACAGAATGTCATTTACTGTCAGCGGTCTTAATTGTGTAACTCTCACATACAGAGCTCAGACTAAAA